GGGGGAGGCGTGGTAGTATGAGAGACCAATAGAGTATGCCTCTCTCCCAAGGAGGCATGGGTACTTATTTACAGTATAAATTATATTGATGATAACAGTCATTTTCATCATTATTGTTGTAGAGTGTAAAACCAGTGGCGACTTGGGTTATCTAAGGTAAAATAATGGTACAGTGATAAAAAAACTGATGTTCAACGTTTCCCCTGTAATGCTTCATCATAATCATTATCATCATCATCATCATCATCATAATCATGATCATCATTGCCATTATCATCATTCGTTACACATTTTAAAAAGGGCTCTACAATAGTTACCTGTATATTCTTTTAACTGTTCTTTAAAATATTGTGGTTCAACTTCAATAATGGTTATAACATAAAGAATCGTCAGGGTTGAGACAACAGTGAAGCATTATTGTCTTGTCTCGGACAAGGCAGTGTAAGTTCTAACGGCGCTAGGACATGTTTAATCAAATATACAGCTGATGCACTTGCAACAAGGTCTGACGAATCTACGATGCATAAAATGCAGCGGGGATTACCTGAGCGCGTCACTACTCTGAAAAAATGACCCCAAAAGCCTGTCATCCGTAACAGGGTGACCTAAAGTACCTGCTCTTTCAACACAGGAAAAGTCTTTTCGACAGCGAGAGGAGAAAGAAATTAAAATAGTGTCGATTTTACTTCCTATTACACATTATTACCATCCCTTCTGAAAAGTTCACATAAATTATTAAATGGTTGGTCGCTTTACAAAGAACAAAAATGGGTTCATTGATTGAGCTCTGGTGCCGACTGGAAGAACGAAAAGTACGTTTCAAACCCTCAAAGACTTAATCGCCATTTTATTTTCACTAACCTTTGTTTCTAGCTGGCGTTGCTAGTGTTGCTTTTTTGAGTGTTATTTCTGCTACTGTCAACGCTGTTGCTGTGCTTGTCGTTGTTGATGTTCTTGTTACTGTTATTATTGTTACTTTTACTCTTATTGTCACAGTCGTTACTGTTGTCGTTGTTGTTGCTGATGTTGATGTTGATATTTATCACTCTACTACTACTACTACTACTACTACTACTACTACTACTACTACTACTACTACT